TTACTCAAACCCTAGCCCCGGCTGTTTCTCTCTCTACATACATCTTCTCTCTACAAATCCATCTAGTTCTAGTGGTGTTCTGCCCTAGCCTCTTTGTAAGAAAGGTAAAGCTTGGTGTGGCCTTCGTTTTGATCCGAAAAACATTGGGTTTGGAGCATCTTGAGTTTTCAACTTTATCTCCTTTGAGTCTCATCTTTTGAGGTAGGGATACCCTACTCTTTCTTTTGAGTTTTAACATAGATTTTAGCCATTTTGTATAAATGGTGGATTATGGTAATTTTGGGAAAGTAAGGGTTGTTGTGAAGTTATAAAAATGGGGTTTTTAATTGTTAAACTCCATGTGTATGTGAGACCTTGGGAAATGGGATTATTGTTGTTGAGTTGATAAAATTGAACCTTAGGGTTGATATTTGAAAAAAGGGGGAAATGCCCTAATTAATGTGATAAATTAATTTGGGAAAATATGAAATTGGGTTGAAAATCCTGAAATTGGGAAATTATGAGATTGAATCAAATGGTGTAGTTGGATTGATTAATCGCTCACCCATAAAAAATGTTGATAATTTATCTATTTGATGAATTTATTATCTGTTTAGAGATAACTGCTTTGGGCTATCTGTGATACCCCTGTTCTGTATTATGCTAAATGGGTCCTTAATTTGTTTATGGTTATGTGTTTAGCATGATTTTGTGTGCCATTATGTGATAATATGTGATTTTGAAGTCGCATCTGTTCACCGTAGGAATATCTGTTTGAATAATCCGCTTCGGGAATTAAATGGAGGGCCTTATCGGCCATAGAACCCGAAATTGATTACGCCACTGTGATTGGCATAAATTTTAGAGCCTACGGTGAAATTTAATAATTCGTATCTGTTCACCGTAGGAATATCTGTTTGAATAATCCGTTTCGGGAATTAAATGGAGGGCCTTATCGGCCATAGAACCCGAAATTGATTACGCCACTGTGATTGGCATAAATTTTAGAGCCTACGGTGAAATTTAATTGAAAGAAAAATGATTCAGGCCAGATTAAATTGATTGATTAATGAATTGGTGCTCAAATATGCAATATTAAATCATTGAGGCTTAGTGGGGTTATATGGGACCCTTATGTATTTAACTCCCTCCTTTTATTTCATTCTTGGCTGATTTAACTCCCTAGAGGAGGAGAGACCCGAATTAGAGAGAGAGAGAGAGGGGAGGAAATCAAAGTTTTGCTCTTGAATCTTGGAAGTCTTGAAGACAACTCTAGACTTGACCATAAATTGGAAGAATTGAACCTCTAGGTAAGCATTGATTCTTGAATTCATGAGTTTAATGTGTAATCTTGTGTGTTCAAGGGTTGTATGTGATCAAGAGCATGATTTGAGTTGGTTTTATTGAAATTGAGGTTTGATATGTGAATGCATGTAAAGAACTCCTATGGGATCACAAAATCTAGCATGTAATTTGTGAAATTGTGAAAGATTGGTAGTGTAATCCCACATGCAAGCATGTCTTTGTTGAGTCTTATGGGAATGAGCACTAATTGCATTATGTGAAATGAAAATGAAGTCAAAATGGGCATGCATGTTTGAATAATTGAAGATGGGAGCTTTGAATGCATGAATATGTATAATAGAATTGAGTTTGGTGGCAATTTGAGACATGCAAGTGTTTAATCCTTGAAATTGAGCTCCATAATAATGTGTTTTGGTGTTTATACCTTGTTAGTATACTTATATGTGATAATTGAGCTATAACATGCATGATTTGTTGGTTAAAAGTCGGAATGGAGCTCAAGAACTCAACCTGGGATTCCCAGATTTTTGATGACCGCTCGAGCGGGGGGAAGCGCCGTTCGAGCGGGAAAATCGTGCTTCCAGTAGTTTTTGCAGACATGGTTCCCGCTCGAGCGGGGAAGTTAACGCTCGAGCGGGGAGCTATGTAGGCAGGGAATCCGCTTGAGCAGCCGAGTTCACGCTCGAGCTGGAATTGGAGGCAACCAGTACTTTCGCAGACCTAAGGGTCCGCTCGAGCGGGGAAGTCCACGCTCGAGCGGGGACCCTATCTTCTGAAATCCTGTTTTTGCATTTTGTGTTCTGTTTTCCGTTCCCTTTCGCTTGCAAGCACTCTTAGGCATATGTTAAGCATTGTAGATGAGCTAATGAGATAATAATAAAGCCTAAAGAGGAATATGTGAATTAAAGAACGGATTGAACTGTTAATGACCCTTTTGTATTCATGAAACGTGTAGGGTCAAGCTCCAAGACAAATCCACAGGCCGATCACTATGAGTAATATCGATATTTGAATGCTTGTGAATGTCCAATTGTTTACTCCATTTTTAAGCTTTATGAACTGCTAATTGGGATTGTGGACGTAAGTCCGATATGAATGCATAAATGGACCAAAGGTCGTTTTGAAATGAATGAGTGGGCCGAAGGCCGTTTTGACATAAATAAATGGGCCAAAGGCCGTTTTGACATAAATGAATGGGCCGAAGGCCGGTTTGACATAAATGAATGGGCCAAAGGCCGTTTTGACATAAATGAATGGGCCAAAGGCCGCTTTGACATAAATGAATGGGCCGAAGGCCGTTTTGACATAAATGAATGGGCCAAAGGCCGTTTTGATATAAATGAATGGGCCAAAGGCCGTTTTGACATAAATGAATGGGCCAGAGGCCGTTTTGACGTAGATGCAAATCAGAATGGGCCAAAGGCCAACATGTTTAGAACTACAGTCACTTGATCTAAACTCTGTATAATGTACATATTGTTTATATGACTTCTGTGTTTGATATTATTCACTGAGCTATCACTCACGCTCATTCATGTGTTTGTAGGTGAGCCAAGGGAAGTCCAAACCCAGCCCCAATGAAGTTTGCTAGGAAAAATCCGAGTTTTGAGGAAGTCAGCCTTGCGTCTCACTCTTGAGACCTACCCTTGCCTTTTTACTATGTAATTATATTTTGTCTTGCCGGCAAGGACTTTATGTATATCTGTAATTAGTCTGCCATAGGTTGACTCGTTTTGGATGATCCTGTCTGCAATGGATTTTGTAAAACTGTACTTTTGATGTGGGTTATTAACGTAACTGAATATGGTCTGTTGATGTGCGTATAAGCACGGCTCTATGGACAAAGTTTTTAAATTTTGTTTCCCTTTTGGCCCCCTTTACTCTGATGTCTTAAGTCTGTTTTGGTTGAGGCCGTAGGTAATCTTAGGATTACTGGCCGGTTACGTCCTTAACCCATGGGGGGCGGGTTCGGGTCGTGACACTATCAGTGGAGGATAGTCTTGATTGTTGTAGACATTGCATGTTGATTAGGGAAAACTGAAACTAATCAAATGGTTGAGTCATCGAATATGACGGTTGAATTAACACATTGAATATGTACCTGGATTGATCATTGTATATGATAGACTGTTCAAATACATTGCATATGTATCTTGTTTGGGAGGAGATAGGGGTTGTACTCCATGGTTTGGGAGGAGATAGGGGATGTACTCTCAAACCTGTTTAGGAGGAGATAGGGGATGGACTCCATTGATAACTAAGTTGACCGAAGTGTCTAGGGTAAAAGTCCCAAAATCTTTATTACGTTTGCATAACGTAGATAATTGAAGTATTGGAATGTTTTAATACGAGTTGTAGTCTTATTTGAATTGTGGATAATGGAAGTGTTTTGATATGAGTTGTAGTCTCATTTAACTATTTGGCTAGATAATGAGCCATGTTTATGAATTTGAATTGGTTAAGTAAAGGAAAGTGGAATGAAACATGAACGTATTTGTCATGGAATTGGGTTGTGTTGTAAATTGGTTTACAAGTGTTAACCATTTATCAAATTCTAATGTTTTAGTTATTTTTCATATTTGGTTTAGTATATCTCTATTGGGCTTTGGCTCACCCTTTATGGGACATCATTTTCAGGTACAGATGGTATGCCACCTCCAAGGACGTAGCTTGGGAGGCTTAGAGGCCGAAAGACGTTTTTGTTGTTATCTTTATGTATTATATGTAAATCAAGCCTAGGGCTTATTTTGTATAAAGAGTTAGGACTCTTCTTTTGTTGGACCCATGTGTTGACTTGGAAAGTTGTAAGCCCGTAGGGCATTTACTTTTGTTGTCAACATGTAATACTTTCTATAAGAACACTCTGATGTATGGAATATGATATCTCTTTCTTGTATCATGAATGTATGATTTATGGGCTTATTTTGAGGGTGTTATAGGTGCCCCTTGGGCTAATGAATGATGTCTTCTCCTGGTTAGGGCCAAACAGATGGATTTGATGATAGCCATTGCAGGCATCCAGGAAGCTCATCCGTTCATGTCCGGCAGTTGCGTCTACCAGTTGGTCTATCTGTGGGAGAGAAAAGTTGTCCTTATGACAAGCTTTTGTTGAGGCTGGTGAAGTCGACGCACTCCCTCTATTTTTCGTTCTTTTTCTTCACCACAATGGTGTTGGACAACCATTTCAGATATTGTACCTCCCGTATGACCCCTACTGCCAGAAGCTTGTTTATCTCTTGGATGACTGCTTTCATGTGTTATGTGGATGATCGTTTGCTCTTTTGGACTACGGGCTGAGCTACTGGTTGGACATTGAGTTGGTGACATGCAAAGGCTAGGTCCAATCCAAGGGTCTCGTAAGCAGACCAGGCAAACACTTCGATATTCTTGCAGAGGAGAGCTAGCAATTGCTCATTTTCTTCGGCGAGAAGCGAAATGCCGAGTAGAAAGAACTTGTCTAGATCTCCTCCGTCCACCAAGATCGTTTCGAGATCCTCCACCATCTTCTTTGTTGGTACTCTACCAACGTCTTCCAGTACAGGTTGATCAGGCAGTTCGACCATTTGGACTTCTTTGCATGCTTGTTTGGACTTCATGGCAACGATGAAGCAGTGTTTTGCCACTACTTGGTCACCCCTGATCTTCTTTACCCCATTCTTTGTTGGGAAACGGACTACCTGGTGGTAAGTGGATGGCACCGCCTCCATTGTATGAATCTAAGGTCGACCAAGGATTGCATTGTAAGGAGATAAAGTATTGATCACCAAGAAGTCGACAGGGACCACTTTGGACTTTGCTGTGACGGACAAGGTGATCCGGCCGAGTGACCACTCTGTCTGTCCATTAAAGCCAACTAGAGGGGAGATTGCGGGGATTAAGTGTTGCTCATCAAGACCCAGCTTTTTGAAAAGGTCATAATACATAATGTCAACGGCGCTCCCTTTATCAATTAGGACCCGTTTCACATCAAATTTGTTCGTCACACCGATGGTGACGATCAGGGCATCAGTGTGAGGATGTTGGATCCCTTCCAAATCCTTCTCAGAGAGCACAATGTCAAACTGAGAAGGCTTTACTTCCATTCTGGACTTCTTGAGCAATGGTCCTACTGACATGACTTGTTGCAAGTGCATGGCTCTCTGAATCTTGCCACGAATGGCATTCTTCCTTTGGGGGTCGATCATTCCATGGATGACGTTGATCACTAGCCTTGGGGCTTGGTCCTCTAGTGGAAGGGCAAGGGTTTGCCTTTGTTTTGCCCTTGTCTTCTCCACAACAATCCATTGTTGGAGGTGGCCGACAGTGACCAAGTCTTCAAGATGCCTCTTAAGGTCTCTGCAGTTCTGCGTCTTATGCCTTTTCTTACGATGATAGGTGCACCGCCACTCCTGATTGTGCCGAGCAGGGTCCCCTATCATCTTAGAAGGCGAAACGAAGTAGGGTTCTCCCTTGATTTTTTCCAAGAGCCTATAGATCGGCTCCGTGAACACAGTGGTTATGGTTTCGTAGGATCTACTCATTTTCTTTTTGGTTTCCATGGTTGGTTGCTTATTTTGGCCATACCTCATTCTTTGGTCCTCCCTCCTACGCTATTCGGCCCTATGTTGCTAGAAGGCCTTAACTCCCTCATCTGCAACTAACACTTGAACAGAGGCTGTGTCATCTTCCGCACGGGCTCGCTTCTCTATTTAAGCCCTCAGCTCTTTCAAGTCAGAGGTAGGTCGTTTCGTCAATGATTGCCTGAGCTTATGTGAAGGCGGGAGGCCTTGTTTGAAGTATAGAGCTGCCAACGGCTTACTACAAACATCTTCCAAATCACCATATGCCTTCCAATACCACCAAATGTATTCGTACAAAGACTCATTTTTATCCTTTCGAGTATTGAACAAAGTGTCCAATCCCTTCGGGATTCGACTATTAGAAACAAACCGTGCGAGGAAGGCCTTGGAGAGCTGAGCCCAATCATAGATTGATTGAGGGTGAAGCTTGTCATACCATCAGAGGTCGTACTCACCAAGGCTAGAGGCAAAAACCTTACACATGAACGTATCGTTCTGATTCCAAAGTGACATCATTTAGCGATAGTGGCTAATGTGAGTTAGGGGATCTGACTTCCCATTATAGAGGATGAATTTCAGTGGGCTGTACTTATGAGGAGCTTCCACCGCTTCAATCTCAGGGCAAAGAGGGGAAGAGACTAGTCGGTCTAGAGCACGATGCTCTATCTGATGAACGGATCGATCTAGATGCTCTTTTTCCCTTTCTAATCGCCGCTCCGCTACTTTGATTAACCGTCGGTCATCTTTTCGGTTGTCGTTCAACCATGTCCTCAAGTCACGCGGTCGCTCATCACGACGGCGCGGAGGCGGAGAGATTGCTGAATAATGACTGACGGGCTTTTGTCTCTTGCGAGAGTTTTCTCGGAGATTATCTGTCCTACTACTGGCTCCCTCACTGTGTATTGGAATCAACCTGCTACGCTCACAATGAAAAGGACCGTAGTTAGACCGTTTCCATTGTGGAGGCGGCGGAGGAGTATGCTTCTGTTGCTACAACGGTGCCCCTCCGGACTTCCTTGGCTCACCTTGAGGTACCATCTGCTTCCTTAGTTGAGCACATATGTCCTCAATCTCCAGACTTATCGAGTCGATGACATGATCACGGTGGTCCTTCTCAACAAACAGTCGTTGAGATGACTGATAGGCGGTGGCATGACGTCGCTCCGCCGTATCAAGGGTTGGGTTGTCGTGGTCCATCAGGTTATTGTTTCCGGTAGGGAAGGTCAGACCCTTGTCTTTGGTTCTCTTCGTTCCTGAAGTCTTCTCTTCAATCGCAGGTTGCGAGGTTCCTTCAATACCTATCGTCAGAGTTCGTCACAATGCAATCAGAGAACGATTCCCATAGACGGCACCAAATGTGCGGACCGATTTTTACAATACAGTAAAATGAAACTTCGTTGACGAACCATGATGCACTGATGGGTGAAGGCCTGCGCAAGGAACAAACGGTTAAGTTGTCCGACCGGGGTTGGTCGAAATCCCCCTCTGATGGTCGAGTCAGTACCAGAGTTTGGTATAGAGAAAGTAGAATAAACAATTCAGTTTAGAGTGTTCAGCGATCGATCCCTCCTCAAGGAGAGTGAGGTTACCTTTTATAAGGACCGTTTGACTTGCTCACCAAGTTTTTCTCTTTGCCGCCCGACACTTAGCCTAATGTTAGGTTGCTTTTCAATGGGAAAAACAAGGAATCCGTTAAGCAATTCCGTTATTCATGGCAGATCAAGCGCTCCTTCCGTGTATTGGATGCGAGTTAATTTGCACGATTGGTCTGTACCGGACGTTTTTACGATTTGTTCAGCGCCCTGATTCAAGTTGGTCATCCTCCTTAGCTATGCTCGGCCCAGGTTCGTATTTTGGCTGCATGGTTCGGATTACTTGGTCCGTTGGGCTTAAGATCACACTTGGTCTTTATGTTTGGTCCCTTGGTGTTTCTTCTCTAGTTCAAGTAAACGCTTGGCCCACTTGGTTGGACCGTTGAACACTAGCTCGGCCCAAACTCGTGCTTGTGTTTTGATGTTTTGATCCTGTAGCGTTACCAGGCCTAAGCATCGCCCTTGGGCTTGCAGTCTCCTCCTTGTTCTGCTTATGCTTTGTAAATGACCCTCTTCAATCACCATGAAATGATATTGAAAGAATAATATAGTAGCAGAATGGGTTGAGGTCCGGTGGGCAACCAAGGTAAGACTGCCACCCGTCAATGAAACAAAATTATTAGGTGTTTAACCTAACTCTGTTACCATGTTATAAGCTTTATAAAAGAAAGAAATAGAATATTATATAATATGTATATTCAATATTGTGTTTAATACTAATGTAACAATATATACATTTCTCTTTTATATAGGATGAAAAAAAAATCTAAGTATGATAATAAATATAATATGTTATTTATAATAGACAAAATATATAGTTATTTTAAATAAAACATAATTGATTACTATTCGATTGAGAGATCAATTTATAGAATTGGTGGGATCATGTAACAAATAAAACATCAAAAAATAAAGGTACAATAGAAGAAAAAACCCAAGGTTTGACTGTTGTAACAAAATAAATTCAGAATTTTTAATTTTGCAAATTTATCTTTTTCTTTGAAAAAAATTATTTTCAATTTAAATCATTTATTTATTTTCCTTAACTAAAGTAAAAAAAAAAGAAGTTATCAAACTCAAATGTAATTTCTTTGAAAAAAATTATTTTCAATTTAAATCATTTATTTATTTTCCTTAACTAAAGTAAAAAAAAAAAAAAGTTATCAAACTCAATGTAAATATACATAAAATATTTAAAATATTTATTTTTATTGAGTTTAATGGCTAAAATATCAAAATTTTCACCAATTTTACTTAATGAAAATAGATAAATAGTTCAAATTGAAAATAAATCAAAACTTTAGAGTTTACATTGATAAAATTAAAAAATCATAATTTATTTTGTTACAAGAGTTAAATCCTCTAAATGTATTTATTTATTTATATATTTTTTTGTAATTTTTTCAAAAATAAATAAATAAAAATTACCAATTAAACTTGACGAGTTAAAAAATCCACATATGGCGGGAAACGCACTTGATACGTTTACAATTTTCCCGCTAAAATTCACACTTCTTTGCTCTGCACACAATGTATATTAGATATTCGCATCCCCCAATCCATGCATAGATTGTATATCTATTCTCTCACACAGATTTGCAGATCCTCAAGAGCTTGGTCGATTTTGATATCGCAATCATGCCGACCATCGCCGGACATGGATCATCTCCGTTTGCCGCCGCCGACGAACTCATAGCCATCAAAGCTCGAAGATCCGGCGAGATCCGATCCACCGGCGACTCCACTCCCCGAAAACGAACATTGAGAAGCAATTCGGCCGCAGAAGACTGCTCGATCGCTTCGACTCCATCTCCGAAGCTTTGTTATCCGACGAAATGGAAATCTCCTCGCCGATGTATCAGTGGCAGCCCCAATGGCCCTTCAAAGGTGAGTCCAGTGCTTTAATTTCATCAAACTTTTCTTTCATTCTCTGTTAATACCGCACAATTGATGATGATAATTGTGGATTGCATTTAGGTGTTTTTGCAGGGAACTGAATTAGAATCAAAATCTCGCGAATTGTTGGTGAAAAAATTGTCTGAAAGTTTTATTGACAAACCGAAATGGAATCCGAGAGGCAAGTTTAATTTGAGTTATTATTCATTTAATTGCAACTAAAAGTGATATAAACTTTCGAACAAAAATGAATTGGTTAATAATATATATCTGAACAACTGCTTTTTGTTCTGAAGATTATGTATGGACATTTGACTTTTGTTTGAAAGTTTATATCTGAACGGTATAAGTAGTGTGTACTGATATTTTTTATGGCGTGCAAACGAAAATTTCCAATCACGTATGTTTGTTGATTTGATATGTTCTAAAATGTTAATTAAGTGATGTATGTATAGATTTGCAGCAAATGAGTGTGGTAAAAGAGGCATTGCACGTATCAAGTATGCCCTCTATGGTTGTTTGCCGAGAAAATGAGCAGAAAACGGTTTTGGAGTTCTGCAAGCAATGCATAGAACAAGAGAAGGCCGGGAGTTTGTATGTGTGTGGATGTCCAGGGACCGGAAAATCACTGTCTATGGAAAGAGTCCACGAGTCTCTGCTTGATTGGGCAAAGGGGGTAAGCTGATTGCCCTTCATTGATGGTTCTAAAATTGGGGTTTGTCTGTTGATTAGTTCCATCAAATAGATTAGAAAGAGTTCTATCATTCATTGATTGCACGCAATGTTATAATTTTCAACCAATTAGTGTATAACTCCGGTGTTGGTGTGGTTTAAAATGTTAATCTTGCTGATCTGCAAAATAATTATTACTTTCATATTTGGCTAAGCATGAGCATATTGCATTTAGTTTAGGATAATTGGCATAGTATGACCTATACATAGCATTGTGTACTTGGTAGTTGAAAATTGTTCCAACTTGACTATGTGGGCAAGACCGGTGTGCCCTGCTTGAAATCATCTTGAATCACGCTCAAGCAGGGTACTAGTGGGCTTGAAGTGCACTTAAGCAGTGCTGTCCTTTTTGTGCATAAGAATTCCCGAATTGGGAGCTCGAAGCCTGTTGAGCATGCTGACAAAAGTTTGAATTGGAACTTGACTTGGAACATCCGGCTAATGCCAATGACAGGACCTTTGGAATTGGTAGTAAGAAGTAGCATTATATAATAGTTGACCCTTTAATGACCCATACCTACGCATTACATGCATGTCCCAAGTTTAGCAGATCTAAACATGCATGTACATTTCTTTTAGTCTGTAATATGTAACTTTCATAATTCTTGCACTAATTGAATCATAATTCTTGCTGTCAGGCAGGTTTTCAGCCACCTGATGTATTAGCCATAAACTGTACTTCTCTTACAAACACATCTGAAATATTCAGCAAGGTAAACCAATAGCAGTATTCCTTTTAATAACTGAACACCACAACATAACATATGCTTACATTCCATTAGCTATGGCAGATTCTTGGCAAAAACCAACTGCAAAAGAAAACCAACAGTGCAACTTCAGCTTTACAGCATCTTCAGAGCTTGTATTCTCAAAAGCAGCAATCAACTGGCATGAAAATGACGTAAGAAGTATATCATCACTCATGTGGTCTTAGGTTCCATAACACCTCGATGGGTTACTAATCTCTCAGAGTAGCCAATAGCATACATTTTCATGAAAAGAGCAAGTTATCTCTGAATTCACAAATTACAAGTCATATTGTTACTGGTTTGAAACTTTTGGTGTCACCAAAAGTATAATTGTACTTAGCTAGATCTCTTTGTTTCCAGGCTGATTATTGCTGATGAGTTGGATTATTTAATAACTAAAGACCGGGCTGTGCTTCATGATCTTTTTATGCTCACAACTTTCCCATTCTCTAGATGTATATTGATAGGTATGATAATTGTAAATATGTGAGTATACAATTTTTGCTGTATCTATGTGATTTTGTAGTTTAGATTTCAGAGTTTGTAACTATTAGCTACCTGTTGTAAGGGAGTTCTTGATATGTCTTTGCTTTTACAGGAATAGCTAATGCTATAGACCTAGCAGACAGATTTCTTCCAAGACTGCAGTCATTAAATTGTAAGTTCATTACTTGCTTTAGTCAATTAACTCTATTCACTATCATTTTGATTTGGTCTGTTCTAATGACAGATTCTTCTTCCAAGACCCTCTTTATGGTGCCAAGCCATGTCCTAGAATTGTTTATATCCTTTGAATAATTTCTTTCATAATTTCGTATAACCAATGTATATTTCATTTCTCTCCCAAACAACTTTACTGGTTTCCATCAACAAGGAAAATTGTTGTAGTATTTGGTTGTACCTCTCTCTCTCTCTCTTGGCGGGGGCAGGGGAAGAATTATTGATTGTAATTTAGAAGCTATGAATAGTGCTTTATAAGTTTTGAATATTCCAAAGTTCAAACCCGTTCCTTGGTATGGAATCAATTTAAGACCTGTTTGGTAATATACAAGTTACTTGTCCTCTTAACTAGGATATATCACTTTTTATTTCTTTCTGCCTCATCCCCCATTACAACTGCTAGAGGCAACTCTTAACCACTACTTGGTGCAGTGTCCATTGGTAACCCATTCTCCATCCCCCATCAAAGTATCCTATGTAAAAATGATGTAAAAGAATTAGCTGCTATATTGGTTGGTCATAACACTAACTGTTCAGTTCTGCCCCTTTCTTATGCTAGGCAAGCCTATGGTAGTAACTTTTCGGGCCTACTCCAAGGATCAGATCATCTTGATTCTTCAGCAGAGGCTAATGGTAATTTTTGTGCTCTTTCTATAAACAAGTGTCCTGTTTAGTCATGCAATAGCTTTTTGTTATTTCAGACTGGATGCTAAAAAGATCAAGTGCTAAACCCTAAGAAAAAGAAAATCACTTTGGCTGTAGCTGTTCTCTGTATGGTTTCACATTTGAATGTATATATGCATTGAAAATTTTGATTTAACATGTTTTATTCATTTCCAGTCAAGTTGGCCAGAGATCATGTTTCCCCCCTAGAAAAAGAATAAGGTTTGAAAATTAAGGTTTGAAGATACGAGAAATTACACATTTGGCAGTCAATTACAAGTTGGTAATTGAAGAAGTTGCAGCTCGATGTTTTCAGTGTTTTCACTAGGAATGCAGTGTCGTTATCATGACTTTTCATCACTGAATGCTACCACATCTTAGATTTAACAGCTTAATGTACCATAATTTTCAAGGAACCCTAGAAAAAATTTGAAAAAAGAATGAAGTAGTTCTTTTGAAATCTTTTATGTGTAAGAGAATTTATCTTTAGTCGCTCATTTATTTGTTATTGACTAAAGACTGACTGCTATTCTCTTCCAACAGGCACTTCCTTACACTGTCTTTCAACCACAAGCCTTAGAACTATGTGCCAGAGTGAGTCACCCTTCTTTTTTCTTTTTTCCCTGCTGTATTCTGGTAAATCATGCTCACTTTTCTTTACTTGACACATTGCCTTTAATTTGGTGGTGCATCCAAATTTGTAATATTACTTGAATGATAATTAGTGTATGAGCAATTATGTTCTCTTGACATTTTTTATTGATAAATAAAATAAATTTTATGTTCTCTTGACATTAAGAATTCATCCTCACCTTTATATAAATTGTAAGTCAGCAGTGGAACTGTGGCACCAAACACCATATGGAAAATTCTCTCTCATAAGTAAAGAAACTGATATTCTTTTGAAACATGGCAGAAAGTTGCGGCTGCATCTGGAGATATGAGGAAAGCTCTGTGCATCTGCAGGTTTGTCTTTTACTGCAATAGTTATGGTACTTAGTTTGTTGAATTTATTCAGGGGGTTCAAAACTAGATTGGTGCAAACTATGCTGAGAAATAATTATTCAAAGACAATTAGATTGGTGCAAGCTGCAAACTGTGCTTAAGTAATTATTCAGGGAGATGGGCTATATGATTAAAATAGTATAAAAAAAATTAACATTCATAGAATTTTTTGAACTCAAAGATGTTAAACCTTAAAATTATACTATATATATATATATATATGAGGAACGGTGTAGTAAGAATATTTTTGGATGTCAAAGGCCAACATCAGCCGTCACTCTGTCGCAAGTACAAAATATCAATAAAAAAAGGATTTAATTGCAAACCTCAAAAGTATTGATGTATCAATGGATTTCATTGATGGAACTACATTATACTTTGGAATTTAAGAAAAATGCAAAAGCATTGTGAAACTATCAATGAAACGGATAAATTGAAGTCTTGAAAGTTATGTGTATATTGCTGATATTTAATTTGATGTTCATTCACATATGACCATACAACTAGATCACTCTGAATTACTTCTCTCTCTGTCTCTCTCTCTCTGTTTGCTGGAAATTAATGGAGTTTGGGAAGGGGGAGGATCTAAACTGATACAGGATATGGTAGTAAAAAATATATGAATTTCTTAATTTAATTGAGCATATAGCCCTTGATCAATCACTAAAAAGTATTTATGTAGCCAACCCCAATTCATAGGGGCACAAGGTTTGGTTTGGTTAGAAGAAACTAAAAGTAAAACCAAGATGCAGATACCATATGAAATTGGTATTTTTGCTTTGAATAAGGTATAGATTGCATTATAATTACTTCACCTTTTCAATTCAATTTCAGGAATGCAATTGAGATGCTAGAAGCAGAGCTGAGAGACTCTGCTTGCAATTTGGATTTGTCATCAGCAGGGAATGGGTACTCTGATCAACGAAAAACGCCAGTTCAGGGGCTAATAATGCAAGAAACTGATATTGTAAGAACTTGTTATTTTCATCAATTTTATCCATTTCAAGCATAAACAAGTTAAAACCAAGTATCTTCTTAATATGCATTCTGCCCTGTTATATAATAATTATCTGAACTTGTAGTGATGACCAGTTTTCTTATTAATAATCTATAAGTCACGAATATCATGAATTGAATGAAAATTTGTTCAGGTTAGTTGTGAAAACTCGAAATTAATTTAGATCATTTGAATTGACCGTGTTCTCTTGTAAGCATTTTATTCCAACATTCTTTTTCAAGATTATTAAAAAAACTCTTGCTACATTTCATTGATCATTGATTTCGTAACTACTTTACTGACCTTGTATCAATTGTCATTTTTTCCTCCTCCCTGGATAGTATGAAGTAAATACTCATATATCCTTATTTCCTGGTGTTGGCTATACATTGAATCATCATTTTCAATATTCTTGCAAGTTTTGAACTAGTTACAACTTACAGGTGAGGGTTAACCATATGGCTGTTGCTTTGTCCAAGACTTATAGATCACCAATATTGGACACCATACAGTCTCTTCCACAACATCAACAGGTTTGTTCTGATAACATGATGATTACTTGTCCAAATGACTTAAAAAATTTCTTTTCATATTGATAGGCCCATAACTAAAAATTGATACTTATAAGGTTTACTTATTTTTAATTTTTTTTGTATATTGTTCCTTCTGTTTTAGGTCGAGTTTCAGCTCAGACTGACACCATTTATTTGTTTTGACTAATACTTTTTGACACCATTTGTTCTGTGCTCTTTCTGAGTGATGGTTCAAAATAATGTATTGGCTAAAGTACCGAACTGGTTCTGTGGATGTGATGTCTCCCAGTTCACTTAGTTTTAATGCTGTTTTTTTTTTTTTTTGCTCTTGGAATAATAGGCCTATGCATCTCTAGAAACATCATTTTATGTTTTTTTTTTTTTTTCAATTTTTCTTGGCTGCAGATTATACTTTGTTCTGCTGTGAAGCTTTTCAGCAGGGGAAAGAAGGATACAACTATAGGCGAGGTATCTTATCTGCCATAGTGTACAATATAAAGACTTCATACAGAAATGATTGATTTTTAAATTCGCTAAATGGATGCAGCTCAGTAAATCTTACTTGGATATCTGCAAATCAATTCTAATCCCACCAGTAGGAATTATGGAACTTTCAAACATGTGCAGAGTGCTAGGTGACCAGGTGAGCTAAATATGCAGTGTTCTGATTGAATTGATTCTTACATGGGTCTCTGTACAAGATTTAGGTTGATCACATGAAAAGCTTATTTCACAATGAGATATGGTACCATCTTACTAACTACGAAGAAAACGATACATGATTGAATGTGCAGGGTCTTCTTAAACTTGGTCAATCTCGAGAAGATAAATTAAGAAGGGTGACACTAAAGGTAGATGAAGCAGATATTGCATTTGCATTACAGGTATTAAAAAACCAACAAACTAAATTTAAGCTTCCTATGTGTTATGCTTGTCAAATTTTGAAAAAAATTCTTCTTAAATAGCTCCAATCTGCTTGCTGGCAACAATTTCATTTCTATTTTTGTTAATTATTATGATCAATATTTGACAGGGGGTTCGTGTCTTTCGAAATTGTCTTCAGTAGTGCTGGTCATAAAGATACGAACTCATGAATTTATTGTTTCTTGGAATTGGTGGCTGTTCCATGTCCAGTTAATGTGCTAACTATGAATATTAAGGTTAGAATTCATTGTTTGGCTCAGCTGATGTTAAAACCTTCTCTGCATACCACTTTACGGCATTTGATGTCACACAATGCCTCTTTACTTGTATCTAAACAACAAAAAAATGGCTTCTAAAAAATGGCTTCTCTCATTCTTCAAAGGGCAAACTTCACTTTACTTCCCTATGATTTAGGTCGAGTGCAGATTATTTTCCTGACGTTCGAATATCACCACATAACTCTCCTGTGGTTGATGGAGTAAAGTGCATAGTTAGCTTTTTCATTTATTCTAACAGGTTGTGTAGCACATGCGAGTGTGAGGCAGTTGGACATGAAAATATAATTTTTCCTCCGAATTAAATGACAAATGCTTGTCTTCATCATCAATTTCCAAAGAATACCTTCATATTATTTTCTTCATCTTCATCATTTTCATCATCAGATCTGAAAATGTGATGATTTTGATTTTGTTCTCTTTCTTTTCATTTCTCATCATTTCTTTTCAAATCACTCAATTAATTATATTTATCAAATAAAGAAATCATAGATTTTAGACCAAAACCTAAAACCCCAAATGAGTAATTCAATTTTATTTCAAAAGTTAAACTATAATCATAATTCATGAACACCAAAAAATAGAAATTGAAAATTTTATGCATATCTGAAAGGGCAGCAAGAAGGAGAATCTGATTCGAATTTGAAAATACTGTAGAGAGAGAGAGAGAGAGAGAGATAGAGAACGCTAGAGAGAGAGACAGAAGTGATTCCTCGTCAATGGGTTGGTTGTTGCAGAGATCGAAGAAGAGGGAGGAGTTTGCGGCGACGACGGTGGTGGTAGATGACAGTTTGCGACGTTTGGCCAGTGAGTTTCCAGATCTAGATTCGTCGGGTGCAGAAGCAAGAGCTTTTACTGGGTTTCATCACTTCCTCATTCTCTTCATCTTACTGGGTTTCATCTTCAATTGAAGAAAATGAGAAGTCGAGGTGGCGACAGCAACACTGGTGGTAGGAATGGCAACGGGGCGGGGCGGGGCCGGGGATCACCCTCCCCGTCCCCGATTCCTGATGATAAAAATTTCCCCGGCCCCGATCCCCGACGGGAAACCTATTACTATCCCCATCCCCGTCTCCTAACGGGGATCGGGTTTTCCCGACCCCGAAAATTCCTCGGATACAAAAAAAAAAAAAAAAAAAAAACAACTATTCAAACAACATCATCCACAACAATATCATCAAACAACATCAACACACAAATCTGAGTAAAAAGAGAGGTAGATCTAAGTAGAGAGAGAGATAGATCTAGCTGCAATCTAATATATATATATGTATGTGTGGGTGTGTATATATAACACAGAGAAAGAGAGGCGGAAAGGTCGGGCGGCGGAGGAGATTGCGGAGGAAGGCAGCGAAGGAGATTGGCATGACGGCAGAGGAGGGTGGTGGAGAAGTGGCGCTGTGAGATCGGCGGTGGAGGAGCGGCGGAGGAGGGGCGCTGTCAGATCGGGGCTGTGAGATCGACTCTTCTCTCTTTCTCTCCTCATTTTTCTCACGCGAAATGAAGCTGTGTGTGAGGGGAGAGAGGATCTGAGATGGGAGAGAGGATCTGAGATGGGAGAGAGAGATCTGAAATGAGGGAGATGAGGGAGATGAGAGGTGTTGTGTTCTGGTTTTCGAATTGGGAGATGAGTTCTGAGATAATAGAGAGAGAGAGAGGAGAGTATATATTATATGAGTACATATATAATATTATATTATATTAGGTTTATTATTATTTATGTTGGAAAGTAGTTGGTTCTAGTCAACACAGTCAGAGAATAGATATAATATTATATTATATTAGGGAGTGTATTATATTAGATTTGAAATGAGAGAGGGAGAGGGAGGCGGGGAGAAACAACGGGGAACGGGGCCGGGGTCGGGCCGGGGCCGGGGCCGAACCACTTATCACCGTCCCCGGCCCGAAAATGAGCGGGGATTTTTTTTTTAATACCATCCCCAGCCCGTCGGGAGTATTTTTCGGGAAAAAACTGTATTAATCGGGGTCGGGGGGTCGGATCCCCGTCGGGCCGGGTTTAAATTGTCATCCCTATGCTGAATGGCAGGAATACCTAAATTGGTCCTAAGACAACGATTTAGTTCTACGATCCCCATTATGATATGAAAGAAATTGACGTTGGGCTGGGAGGGGATCAGACCCGAGTACCTAAGAACGGCCCTCA